AGTCAAGTCAAGTTGTACCTAACGGAAGTAAAATATACAAATACGAAATATTTCCTGTGCATGTATTTTATACCTGTGAAAATTTCGCATTCACAGAACTCCAATCATTATTCAGATTCGGAGATCACTTAAATTTAAATTTCAGTATAAAAACGGCTGCTGTATTATTCAACATTGATAATTGATTAATTTACGAATAAATAACTTGTACTACGTGCGAAAAAAAAACTACTTTATTAACTTATTTAGTATGTATTAGTCATAAATTTGTATTCAAAATATACGCATCTATTAAAATAAAACAGCACATATGTGCTGTTCTCAAGTAGGTACAATTAAAATGTTTAGTAAATATATTATTATTATTATTACATTTTTTTTTTCTAATAAAATTTGATTGTTTTCCACATTCTAGTTACTCGTAAAATCTACGAGCCCAAAATAAGCTCATTTGGAAATAATAAGTTGAAATTAATTTAATAATTAACCCGTTGGTTAATAATTATTAACCCGTCCTTGTTCAGCCTTGCTTATTCGTATATTCCACGAATTTCAAGTTCAACGAATAATATCGTAATCGAAATGTTTTTGGACGATATTGAATCATTTTGAGGTGATGCGTCTAAGTGATTATGAATTAAATAGAATTAAATAGTGATTAAATAGAAATTGAAATTAAAACGGAATTACGGAAGATTGATTTCACTGTCCGAAGTCGCCCGGAGTAAATATCCGTCAAACACGACACGGTTGACCGTAGGAAATGGGGATAGTTCAGTGATTCCGTAGAACAAGTTTCGGTTCGTTAAAGAAGTCGGGTGCTTACCCGACATGCTTATGTCCAACAACAGCTACCTAGTATAAAATATCGGGCAGGCGAGTTTGAACTAATGGATTTTTTTAACGGAGTTTGTATTCGAGTTGGAGGATTATTAGGCCCACGCGATCAATAGAAGACCGCGTAATCAAATTTTCACCTAAGAAAAACGATCGCATGCACGAGTAGTTTTCGCCCACACGAAACGGTGTATCTTAAACATTTCTTTCCGTTGGTTCTGTGGTTCCGTCATGAATACAAATATTATTACAAATAATATTGACATGATGTGATTCATTGTGAATCGATAACATTCTATGTTTTCAAAAATTACTGAAAAAATTGCCTTAAATACGCATTCTCTAAAATGCGAGAGGTAATACTTCTTAAGATGCGTAATAACGTGCAGTAAATTACATGGCTCAGAAAATAGTATAATTATAATCGTACGCAGTGAAACCCAGTTCAAGACGGGATCCCCGACAAAACGGAAATAACGCGCCGTGTAAAACGGAAATTTGAAGTTTAAACACTATAAATTTAAACTGTATTTATACAGCATATACTCGAACGAAATGTAACTTTTACACTGTTCGGCCGCGTTATTTTATTTTATTCTTCCACAATACGTACAACGCATGAAATGATTAAGTTACAAATTCGTTTAAAAATATTTTTCTAATATATTTTCTTTTGTTTTTTTTTTTTTATTTCAGGTATGTAAGAATCTATCCGCGTTCGTAAGTTTTAAATTTGAAATCAGCTGATGCAGGGCGGGACCGGTGACATCTGTAAGTGATAATAATAATATTTTGAATTCATAAGTATACGCGAAAACAAAAAAAATATAAAAATAATAATATTTGTACAATAAAATCTGTCTCGGATGATTAAAATGTTCTTTAGATGTCTTAAAAACGAAATGCTTTCAGTTTTTAATTAGTTTTTATTTTGTACACCAGTAGCGCGTTTAAAGAGGAGATTGTTTGTATTCATTATATCATATTCCACTTTTGATCTATTTTAGATTCTGAGAACATCGAGGACCGTGTTAGTTTTACTATGATGCGTTTTTTTTTTTATGTCTGTAAACAACTTGTCTTACAGAAAACTTTCTCAAATCAAAAAAAAAAAAAATAGTTCTTTTGTAGAATTTCGGTTCTATTTGGTACGTCGGGGAAGTATTTTTTTGATTTCACTTGCTGGTAGTTATTTCAGTCCAAAACGTGAAAAACATGTACTATCGAATTTCGCTTGAAATTATATTTCGTTTCGTTAGGAACGGTTTATCATAGCGTAATAATTTAAATTTCTCTGTAAATCCTCTTTTTCAATTTACTTTCTTAAAAAATCGTATAACTATCACGCATTATTAGCCTTTTTCTTTTTTGGTTTTAGTTCAGAAGTTATTTAATTTGAAAATCGTGTTGTATTTTATAAATATAACTTCCGATATTTTGATATTTTCGCGACAATTTTAGGTTCTTATTTTTACAATGATGTTTGTTTTTTTTTTTAAATGTCTTTCTTAACCTTCACCACCTGTCTCTGCACTCTACTTCAGCCTCGTACGTTAGAACGTAAGGATCTCAAGGATAGATCCTTGAGGTCCTTGGATCGGTCGTTTAGTATCCTTACCTTTTCTATGATCAACTCTGCCACGAACGAGTTCAAAATCGCCTCCTATAAATCGCCTCCTATATCCTTTCATAGAAAAGCAATTGCCTTTCTACGAAAAATTGAACACGCACTTCATGACGCCATTATTCATTCTACCCTTAATATAACTACTCTGTCCTCACGCCGTGATGCCGCTGACTTCATGTTTATCACCTCACTTCTCAACTGTACTACTGTACTTTTGGCTCTCCCGATTCACTAGCCACTGTTTCACTGCGTGCTCCCTCCCAATCTGCGAGACACCATTTCTTTTTCTCTGTTACCACCCGTCTCACCTCGTATGGACGTGACCAACTTCTCCACAGAACATTATACCTGTTCAACCAAACTTAGTTCTATCACTTTATATTTACTTTGTATCGTCTACATTAATGTATTTTTACCAATGCCCTCCGGGGCGTATTGTTATCAAATAGATAAATAAATAAATAACTAAGAATTGTATTATTGTTATAAAACAATAATAAAACATGGATAATCAGACTTCGTATCTGAAATATATTAATCTCCATCAAATAATTTAAAGATACCTGTATAATAATAATACGAGTAAACTCGTATAAACGAGTTTACTAAACACTATTCAATATCGTAATTGTTTATTTTTAGCTTTCCAGATACGTGGTCTAAACCGGGATCGGGGTCAATATAGCGCCTCTTGTATGCCCGATAAGGAAACAAGATCGTTGAATTTAAGCTTAAATATTCTAATAATTCTGCTTCGTCTGGGGCTTTCGGCCCTTAATCGAAAATACCCTTCGATTTGTTATGCAAAACCCGCTTTTTGTATATAATATTCCAAGGGGTAAAAACGATTTCGTTTCTTCCGTAGATTTTCGCTTTTTTTTTTTATCACCGGGGTAGAGAGGCAGGACTGTATGGTCGTAGTCCTCCTAAATTGCCATTTTTCCTTTTCGTTTCTGGTTCCGATTATGGTAGTGGTGGTATTCAATTATTTTACTCGGACGTTCTGATAATTACTGATATTACGGTATTATGTATGACCGATAAGTTTAATGAAGTTACACAAAGTCTCGTAATCGTAGATAAAACCGTAAATACTATAAACAAGTCTTTTAATGTACCATAGGAGTAAATTTTGAATTTAGACCTTTTAAACGAATACTTATGAATAGATTCACAGGTGAATTGATTTATAATATATTGTATATTAATGTGCATTGTGTTTTAATAGAACACAAACACAGGACTAAACAGCCAAAGTAACAACCACGAAGAGATTAAGAAACGTGTTTTAGCAGGCTATAGGTGTTTTTATATGCGCTATCTAAGTGCCTGCTTAGAATTACAATCGAAAAATCAAAAATAATACTTTACAAAGTATTACAAAAACCTATCATAACTGTGCAAGTGAACACGGCCAAAAACCTTAGAGGACGAGAAAAAACTAGCAGAAGTATAAAGAAAATTTTGTAAAAGAGATATATGGACCAAAAATAAACAATTTAATACAAAGACATGAAATATGATCGATTGAAGAAATAACGCATAGGCGTTCTCTATAGAGAGAACCAAATACAATTGGGATAATTAAAGCCAAAAGACTAAGCTGGTTAGGTCACGTACGGTCCAATACGATTGCAAAAGAAATATGAATTTGGAAACCACAAGAACAGAGACCCGAGAGGTAGGCCTACCAATAACGATGGTACGATATGGCCGATTACGATCTAACAACGCTAGGAGTACAATTATAGGGAGGTAACATAAGGATAAGGAGAGATGAAAGGGAGTGTGTAGTGCAGCAATTGGCCTAAACGGCCTCTGAACTTACGTACAATTATTGAATAATTAAAAATAAACATTCGCAATAAACAAATCAATTTTCGCAGGTATTACGCAGTGATAATATAGAACCGGCAGAGTGCGCGCAAACGCAGCTGATACTTCGGCTAAAACGATAGACCAGAAAATATGCGATCCGAAATCCGACTTTAGAATCTTTATTTTAATACGGTTGCGATAAATTGGAATATGAACCATTTAAATAATTTTGTTTTTACTTTATTATTTTGTTATAAATATATAACAAATATGTGTTTCCTTGAATAGTACAAGCGAATGTACGCCTACCGTCTTTGCACAGTCGTATTGATCTTTGCAACACGGGACATAATTTACGGCGCTCCTTTGCGTTGCCGGTTTCATGCTTTCAAATGTTTACGTTTTATATTTACTACCAAAAACATCGAACCTCCGATCGAAAAATGCCTTTCTAACAAAATTGTTTTTTTGATTTTCCAACCGGTATTCATAATAATTTGGAAGAAAAAACATAGGAAACACGGTAAAGTTTTGGGCATTACCGGTATCCCGTTATTTACGATTTTTTTACACATTCGGTAAAATCTTAAAAACTTTCTGGCGATTTTTCAGCAATTAATTGACATTTTTTTTTTTTTTTTATTAGATTCTTTGCGCGGATAAAATTGTTTGGCTTTTTTTTTTTTTGGTAGTGCAGGCCCTTTTGTGACACGCATAGAGGCGTAGACCACAGCTCCGTACAGCTCACGCTAAAACATGACTCAACGATATTGGCCCGAGTCAGGTACAGCGGCGTGCGCAGGAGATTGGACGGAAAAGGGGTTTCCCTTTCCCTCACCCCCATCGACTTAGAAACACGAAAAAATACGGGCAATCTAATAGAAATGCGTACGTAATGAATCACGAGAAAACGCTTGACGTGTATTGATTAGAAATCGGCTTATTTTTTACGTTCCGGCTTTTAAATCACCGATTTCCACAGCCGGGTCGGGTAGACAAGACGAATTTGCGAAGTTCGCGAGTGTTGTTCGCTGCATCTCCCTCCACTCTCCCGCCCAATTGAATATTATTCCCGGGCTCGCCGCCGGACTCGGGTAGTTCGCGCTAATACTCGCGGGAATACTCGCGGCCGTAAGACGTTACGGCCGGGCGCCCCAACCGAAGGTCGAAAAAACGCCGCCGGGCCGTCGTCCGACTGTCGTGAGAGTATCGCGCGCGTCATGCTCGTCTGGCGTAGTCACCGCACACTCGGTCGCACGTCACGTCACGTCGCGCGTCGTCACTGTCGGCGAACAATGGCGCCGACAGCCATTGTCGAAGCGATAGTCTTTACACAGTGTTGACGATGATGATGACAATAATAATAATAATTCTCGGCCGCTGCCGTCGGCGGATTAATCTCTTCACGGCGGAGAGAGAAACCATTGTGAACGCGTACGGAGCTATTCGCAACATTATTGTCGAAACTATTACCGCGAGATCAGAGCCGGATTTGGCGTACGCCGGGTGTGTGTGTTCCGTCCCGTTCGACGGATATTTCGGAAAAATTAAATTTCCAACCCCTAATTACAAAACACTCGGCGTGTCGTATACAAACGTATATGGGATCGGCATATTTTTAGAAATAGCCGTTTCGATTAATAGAAAAAAGCGTGGCTATTTGTGAAATTTCGGTAACATGAACAAATAAAAAGTTCTATTTTTATTGTGAAATTCTTCTCTGAATAGAGAATTGCCCTTCAATGCCTTCGATGAAAAGCAGATTGAAAAAATAACCAAAATCAAATATCAACCGCTCTAAAAGAAAACCGTCAAAAGGGCGTGGGAACTGTGTATAATATTATATATGACGAGAGTCGCATAGTAGTCTTACTATACTTGTGCGTCTGCACAAAAACAAGCGCGTTTTCGGCAGTGAAAGGAATCGAGCGATGAAAAACGTACGTTTTTTAAGTATTTGGATATTTTTAAATATCCAATATCGTATTGCAATATACTGCGGGTGTTGTAAATTTAATTGTTTTTCAAAAACATTTGTAATTTTAGATTCTGAGCTTACGGTTTTACAAAGATGTTCATTTTTTTTTTTTTATCTGTGCGCGACTTTTCTACTTTTATCTGGCTCAGATTTTTAAGTATAATAATTTTTTCTGAAAGAAAATTGGTGTGAGGCGGGTACTTGAAGAAGGTAATTTTTTTAATTTTCTTTTGCAGTAATACTTTATACAGTATCCTGGAACTTTAACTAAAAGCGAAAGGACACGTTCGAATTTCTTCAACCAATTTTTTTTCTTTTCTAATTTATATTAATTAATTCTATATTCGTAATTTTTCTATTGTTTTTGACATAATTTATCGTTCTGAAAAACACTATGCGTACGCAATAGTAGTACAATTATTAATGTATTATTAGTGTCCAACTTTACCTTCCCTTCCCCCGGGAAATCCGCTCTGGCCACAGTATTCATCCGAGCTATAAGAAGAACACAATTCCCCGTCCGGATCTCGAAATTTCGGCGAAAACGTATCTGTCGGAATCAAAACACTACGTCATTATTATAATTATTTAAAAAACAAAACAAAACAAAAAAGAATAACCGTTGGGGCGGCGCATCTGCGCGACGACGGCAACGGGGCGGTGAAGTCAGTTGGACGGAGTAAACGACGACGACGACGACGGTAATCGGGAATCGATTCGTTTATATAATTCGGCGGTTATAATAAACTATTATTTTTATATATATATATATACATATAATATACGTATATAATAACGGTGTTGGGGGACGAAAAAGAAGTAAAAAAAGAAAGGACCGAACGTCTTTAAATACGACGATAACGTTTAAATCTCCCTCTATATCGGCCCGCCCGCGCGTTTCTCACTCGCCGCGGCGGTCCCCTCGTCGCCGATTTCGGAAAAAAAAAAAAAAACAAACTCCACATTTCAATTGGATACGCCGTCGTCTTTATCGCTCTCGCAGCGTTATTTCTTTTCCATTCTTTCCCCCTACCACATCCAGCCTTTTATTTCGATATATCTACCTGCCTATACACATAATTTTTCTTTAGCGAGTCGTTTTCACGCCGCCGCCGCCACGAACGTAAATCGACGACGGCAAACCGCGTAAACCGCCCGTTCCGAGTAAAAAATCCGCAACGAGGCCGCCGTCTAGTATACGCTTCATCTTATCTATTCGTTACTATCTAAACGTTACTTTTTACTACGGGACAAAAAGTATATTACGTTATTATGACTATACGGGTTTCCGACGGCGGGAAATAATACCGAAACGACCAGAGTCGATCGGATTTCGCGCGGACTGGGACGGCAATCGAGAGCCGTCCGGTGAACCGGAAGTGTACTTATTCTTCAAGTTTGTCAACGGAGGCCTTTTAAATTTTGCGACGCAAGACGATAATTTCGTTCGGGTCCGTTTTATACATATGGTAATAAAAACCAAAACAAAAATTGAACACCAGTAGAATAGGTAAGAATATTACTGTGGGCCTGCGATTGTCTAACGAAATATAATCATCGACCGTTTTATTCGTATCCTTTTTAGTTGTATTAGTATCGAATCTTGGCCCCTGGGCCAAGCGCACAATCCGGCTTGGGGTTCAACTTAGGAAAAAATGTGTTTTCATACATCTGTCCATCCTAGTAGGCTTGGCCATCGCCCGTTTTTTATTTACCTGTCTGTCCGCTGAAAAATAATGTCTTAGGCTCTATTTTGAGGCACCTAAATGTCACAGGCCCGTAGTTAATGAACTACGGGCCTGGCGTGGCCCGCCATGCCGCCGCCCAATCCGTACGTCACTGCTCGCAATGTATTCGATTATTTATATAGATACAATATTGTATAAATCGACAGTACGTAGTGTATAAAATATTTATAAATAAAAATGTTCTTGAAATCCGAAAAAAATCACTTAAAAAAAATTTGTAAAAACGCAAAATATAATAGAGACCCCACTCTAACGGATTTAATTTATGAATTTATTTATAAATGCAAACGGTTTTCTAAAACTACAAAAAATCATCAATACCTTTGTAGTAATGACTTTTCATTACTAGAAAAACATTTTTTTCTATAGAAAAATACGTATGATTTCAATAAATTATTGTGTGTCAATCGTTTTTGTAATTGTTAGACAATTTAATTTAATAACTTAAAGCCATTAGAGCCATTGGATATTAAAATCCAACTATCGTTTTTATTTTTTAAACATTTTTTTTTTGGGGGGGGGCTTTTTTGACGTTTTAAAGCGACTTTTTGTGAATTACAAAATATTATAAATCCAGTATCTAATTATATTCGTTATTAGTATATTCTATATTTAGACTTTTTCACGCGGTAATCAAATCTCGAATATAAATAATAGAATTTGCAACAGAATTGGAAAATTTAACGAATCTACATTAAAAAATTTTAATTGATTTATATTAATTAAACGTTTGTAATGTAGATTCTAATTATCCTAAACCGTACTGCATACTTAAGTAGGCGTACTTAAGTAACAAACAATATTTTCATACAATTTTTAAAGAAACGTAAAAATGTATTCTCCCATAGAACTTAATTGAACATTGATATGTCGACGTGTATTGGAATTTGAATTGGTTATCGTGCATAAAATTCATTGCGTCGTCAGTCCTTTCCATCGTAGGACTACAGTTGACAACCCTACTCGCCGGGGATTTAGACTCTGGCGGATGACAGTCAGCAACAGTAGTGGCCGCATACTAAAATGGCCGGAGGAAAACACGACCGAACGCTGAAATGATCAAAGGGAAGTATGACCAAATTAAAATATTGGTCATTTTCCATTTGGTCAAGCGGAGAAAGATATATCTACGGAAAAAACATCCAAATGTATCCATGGCCGTATTTTCCTCTGGACTTTTTTGTATTTGTTCATATTTTCTTTTAACGGTTTTGATATATGATTACGTTTATTTTACCCTGGCCGTTTTTAATTTTTACATTAATAGTAAATATATACCTGTTGATATATTCACCAATATTAATATTCACCACTAATATCGGTTCTTTCTATAGAGGCCCGATATAATTTTAAAACAATTTAGTAATTTTTAAATTTTTTTTTTTAATTGGCTTTTTAAAAATGCTCAATAATTTACCACGAGGTTCATCGTTAATTGTATTAAGCGATCAAAAAAAAATTTCAGTCAACAAATCTCTAGAATTCTCCAGAAAATCTCAGATTCTCAGATCTCAACTACAATTAAAAAAAAAGAATAAAGCCAAATCAAAAAAAAAAAAAAACAGAAACAATTAATTAATTAATTAAGGAAATTAATTAATTTCCTCGTTTTTCTGGCGGGTTTTTCCATTTAATATCAAAACTACAGGGAGAAAAATATACGGACGTTCCTAATGCGCTAAGTATGCAAAAATTCGATACAAAAAAAAAGTCGTACGTCTGTTTTAGACTATAGCTTTATGGTGATTTATAATGAAGTAGTTAACGAACAGAAAAAATAAATTATAAAAAAGCGCATCAATCAGTGCTACCAATAATGTGTACATTCTGAATGCATAACGTTCCAGTTTAAAACTCGCAGTGATTTCGAGATGAAGTTTTTAAATCGGCATTCCTAATATTCCCCGATTTCGCGTGCTATTCGTATCTCGCTACTTCTTGACTTATGTACTTGAATTATGTATATTGTGTATATGTAAGTCATACATGACTTGTTTTCCGCTGTCTCAAGAGTTGATTTAAGAGTTGATTCTGAGCGGAGCGAGGAATGTATTGGGTAGTACAACGATGACAATTTTTTTTTCTGTGGATAACTTTTCTATTTGAAACTTTGCCCCGATTTACAATAATAGCGATTTTGTTTAAATTTTAATCTTACCGGGGATCTCCCCGGTAAGATTAAAATAGTATCTACTTTTAATAGTATCTACCTTTAAGTATCTACTTAAAGGA